AGTAGTCTCACAATGAAATCAACAAAACTATATCCCAATTGATTGCATCCTTCAATTGGGTATCAATTCTTATCACTAAAGATAACAATGAATTCTTTGCCAAACATTTAATTAGCGATTCATTTATGATTTTTCAAGCATTGTTTCAATAGATTGTGTCCACAATTACAGCAATAAATTCAATCACATTTTTTAACGAAAACAATTTACCGTATTTAATAAAATATCGCTAATAATCAAATGATTTATAGAATATATTTTTCAAAAGTTATAAATTATGACAAATTATCATTAATATATGTTTATGAAGTAAAATACTTTTGTTTAATTATGTTGTCGTTAATTATGAAATCAAAGAATTTACTAATACAGGCAAATATCTATGCTATCAACAGAATGATTATTGGGATTTGGCTGATAACATGGATTAGTTGACAACATAGATAGTTCACAAGATAGGTATTTGACTGTAATTGTCAAATAGAAAATGAGATTATGATCAAATCTATATGTAATGTAATGTAGCTACGATTGTGGCCCCTAATCCTAATACAGTAGTATATAATTCCGATGTAACTTTTTTCGGAAATTCTTAAAACTTACAAACTTTAGTATAATAATATATATATTTTACACAAAAAAAACGTTAATAAAAATTGTAATAAACAAAGCATAATGTCATAGAATTATAGATTATAAGCACTTAATTGTCCAAATCAGCGAAAGCATCTAAATCTTGGTCGCCGTCAGCAAAGTGGATGAAACCATTGATTACATTAATGTTTTGCAAATCATAAATAAAATTATCGCCGAAAAAGTGGACCGGATTTGGGTTTGGGTTTACAGCGACAGCAGCCATATTGGGCGCAGCCATCGCTGCAATCGGTCTTTCAATGAATGCCATTTCAATACATCTTTCGGTCATATCGTCGGCCAATCGAGCGTTCGTTGAGTCCATTCCGAACACAACTCTCTTATAGTCGTTGACAACAATCAGTTGTTTGAGTCGAAGCCACCGATTGATGGTCTGGAATGTGGTCTCATTGAGCGAACAGTTCATCAGTTCCAGAGTCGTCGCCACTGGAAGACAGACACACATGTCATCCATTGATTGCCTGTTAATCACCGCTTCCTGAATGACAAATGTCTTCAAATTGTGACAATTCTTGAGTCCATTGAGAGTCGTTCGGCAAACTTCGGGACTGTTATGACCGACATTTCTGCCAAACCATAAGATTTTCAATGTCTTGAGATTTGTTAGTTGTGCCACACTTTCAATCATTCTTCGAGTGTTCCTAACATCTAATCCATCGTTCATTGAGAACGAGAGGGACTCTAAACCAGACAAATGATCGCAAATGCCTTGCATTGATTGCGGGCCCAATTCATAGACACCTAAATGCTTGACATTTGGAAGACAACCCTTTTGTGCCAACGATTGGATGGATTGACTGTTGAGGACATTATTGGAGACATCAATTGTGGTCAAGCGGTGACTCAATTGTGCGAAACACTTAGATGTCAGACAATACTCGTATTGAGTGAGACTATCGGTGAAGTGGTGTCGGGCTCTTAGCTTCAAGACATCCAATCGTTGGCATCGATTCAATAGCCTATAAAAGCGCTTTTTTGTGGCCACAATTGAATCCACGTTGAGTTCAAAGTGTGTTAATTGTGGGAATCGGTCGCAGAAGTGGTCAACAGATCGCATTTTCATTGGCTTTCAATGTGTGCGTCAAATGAGCGCTTATTTTGAATTCAATACAAGTTTTACTAATATTTTATGATTTTTATCGTTTTATTCAAAGAATTACAAAATGTATATAAGTTTTGAACAAATATTTTATGATTTTATAGAAAATAGGATTAAAAGTAAGTTATTTAATAAAATATATAAAACAAAAGCGAATAACTTATTAATGAAATGAACGATAATTGAGAAAACTTGTGATCATTTGATCCATTGGTGGTAACGATGGTGTGAGCAGTGGTTGTGTCGCTTGTATTGTCAGAAGTGGTCATATCGTCGGTTGAATCGATGATATCAATGATTGTTGTGTAAGACTCTGTTGTAGTGGACGTGTCATCGATGGTAATGTTAGTCTCTGGCCTATGAGTCACTTCTTCTGTAACGCCATCCCCGAAGTCGAACTGACCATTAGTTCCACAGAAAGTGATGGCAAACATAGCGACCAATAAATAGACACAAATGGATCTCATTTTTGGTTTGAATTGTTTAAATGAGTTCACAATATATGAAGACTAATCTCTAATACGAGTATCAAAACTATGAATGAAACCCAAAACCAGCGAAACTGCAACTTATAAATGATGGTCAAAAATGCATTCAATAGCATGTCTTTATGTCTTCATTGGATGAGCTGATCGGCGATTAGATAAGTATTTTGCTTACATTTTATGAAATAATTGCAAATGTAATGTAAATTATATAAAATTCATGAGTTATTAATACTCTAATAATCAGAATTGAATGAATAAGCGAAAGCCAGACTCTCGTCATTGGATTCCTGTTTATATTTTACATATTTATTTCAATAATTTTTTTCCTGATAATTTAAATTTTTAATAATATTTATACAAATGATTAAATTCCTATTTATTGACTAGAAGTAAGTTTAATTCAATACAATATCGTATATAATGTACATTTTATTGTATTCATTTAAATTGCCAATGGGGTAGAGTATAACTTATGTAATTAGATTAAAACGAACAAATTTATTAAATGTTTTTAATTTGAATATTGTCAATTGAATCGAATAATGTTATAGTTATAGATAACATTTGAATTTTAATATTGAAACATTTTCATATTCATTCATGTATGTAGTGTAAACTTGTTTTGAAAGGACAAAGATTAATGTTAATGGGTTCTGGGCCAAAAATTTTATATTAAAAAATTATATATTTTTTTTAATTTGCGAAATTAATAATCACTGTAAGCATAATTAAAATTGATATAAATGATGTTCAGTAATTACGTTATTCACTATAAAAAACGTACATGACTGATACTAAATTTCTTACTTTTGATATAACTTTTATCGGTTATGTCAGATTTGAGAAATTCACTCGGATTACGATTCTACTCATTTATACCTTTTTATTGATATATAATATGACATGGTTATTGATAAAATAAAAGATTTGATTTTCAAAATTTGACCGAAAAACGTGGTCACTACGGCCAGACCCGAAAAGATCTGGACATATGAAGTATATCACTCGACTACCTATTGAGTGTACTTTCATTCTATCACAATAAATCCCGATTGCCCGCTATCCCACAGATGCGCAAACTTCTTTGTATTTAATTTAACAGTTGTGATAATCACCGATATTTTACCATTTGTATTCAAATGGCAGAAAACAGATATTAATATCAAATTGTTACGAATGCACTATAAATTAAAACAAACGATTAAAGTGTTTAAAATAACATTTTTAATATAAAAGATATTTAAAGTTTAAATTTTGAACTGAAATTAATTACTTTCTCTCGTCAGACAGATATGAAATTGATATTATAAATGAATATTCATATTATGCCTATATTTTAAATTATCGTTGCTATGAATTATTTCTTTTCTTTATAAAAATTATTTAATATTAAGCCATAAATAGGATATGTTTCAGACCGTAGACCAGCCCTAACCCTGAAAGTAGTGTCAACTGTTCTCGCATTTCAGGTCACCAGACATTAAGTCAATGTTTTCAATGATATGTTATTATACTGATAAGTAAAACGTTAAGTTTTAAAAATGTTGTCATTATATAAGATTATTTTGATTAATGATTGCATGTCTAACAGTGAGAGCAATGTCTGGATAAACAATATCTCATTTGTTATTTCATTTGTTTATATTTATAGATAAAGATAATTAAATTTTGCGATACATTTGTTTGGTTTGCCTAAAATTGAAATTACAAAATTGTGTCATTATTATTGCATTTAACAGTAATTTTTTGTGAATCATTAGAATTTCAATGAAAATAATATCAAATGTTGGCACATTTGAGATAATTATGAATAAAATCTACACAACAATCATATTTATTAATATACTGTATGCTTAAGAAATCAATAATAAGTATTGCCTTAATATCAATATAATTATTATAAATAAAAGAAAATATTTGAAATGGAAAAAATAAAATAAAAATTCTGTTATATATTAAACAAGAATCAGAATATTCTGTAAATTTGGTTACAATTGTATGAATAAAATATTGAATGAATGAACAAATGGTTGTGACATCTGTTTAGTTGAGCATAAAACGTTAAGTTTTAAAAATGTTGTCATTATATAAGATTATTTTGATTAATGATTGCATGTCTAACAGTGAGAGCAATGTCTGGATAAACAATATCTCATTTGTTATTTCATTTGTTTATATTTACAGATAATTAAATTTTGCGATACATTTGTTTGGTTTGCCTAAAATTGAAATCACAAAATTGTGTCATTAATATTGCATTTAAGCAGTAATTTCTTGTGAATCATTATATTTTCAATGAAATTAATATCAAATGTTAGCACATTTGAGATAATTATGAATAAAATCTACACAACAATCATATTTATTAATATACTGTATGTTTAAGAAATCAATAATAAGTATTGCCTTAATATAAATATAATTATTATGAATAAAAGAAAATATTTGAAATGGATTTTTTATTTTATTTTTAAGACAATATATAATTTGTTCTTAGTCTTATAAGACATTTAAACCAATGTTAACATACTTATTTTATAACTTACTTACTTGTTTACCAACACTGTAGACAAATCAACTCGGCAAACTAAGTGTATTGATAACAATGAATGCAATGAATTGAGTGCTTGTATTGTATGAAGAGTTTTATCAAAATCGATGCCATCATATATTTTGTCATTAATTTTGATTATAATAATGACTTAAATCTAATTTAATCACAATTTATAACCAAATGAACGAATCGGAAGTCATTGTCGATGAGGTAATGAATGCATACCATATGAATGCAATACTTATTAATGTATTGAATATTTTAATTAACGAAAAAAGCGTACAAAACTTATCAAACTGTTTGAAAACGTTTGAAATCTGAGGCAAACGTAACTAAATGCTAACCTAAATTAGCGTTTTTAACTCAGTTTTGATTTAGTTATGTTTTCTCGTATTGAAAGCCAACGAAACGATTGTAATTCACGTCAATTGACGCCAAATAATAGTGAATCCCATTTGAATTCAGAGCAAAGTTTGCCACAAATTGTTGACAATTGCCCTCAAGTTTTCAGCGAATCAAACAATGATTTGATTGATAATACTTTGACACAAAATGTGTGCACCGCTGAAGACAATCAATCAATTGAACCGATTGTGTGCCAAACGGATAATCAAATCGGTGTCGAAGAGAAAAGACAGACCAGGAGTTCCCGAAAAGCGCTCATTTCTGGCGATAATGGAAATTATGAATTACCGAAAACGACAGATAATTGTCCGCAAAACTTGACGGAAGTGTCGGATAAAGTGGTGACCAAAAGGAAATGGCGGCGAACGCAAGATATCAATGACTTGAAGTGTAAATATTGCGGCAAAATGTGGCGATCGTTGTCTCATTTGGAGATTCATTTGCGCTCTCATACGGGAGAGAAGATATACGAGTGTCCGAAGTGTGGCCAACGGTTCGCCCAATTGGCCGGACTTCAGGTGCATTTGCGGCGACACAACAACGACCGCCGGTTCGGGTGTGAGGTCTGCGGGAAAGCGTTTTACACGCGAATCGACTTAAGCCGACACAAGACGTCTCACAAACAATTTAAACAAATCACTCAATGCTGCGAAATATGCGGCAAAGGCTTTAACGACAAGCGAAAAGTGCGAAATCATATCAGGTTTGGCTCTCAATTGGTTTAGATTTTGAAACTAATTTTATGTTTTTAAACATGCAGTCTATGCAAGTGCTCTTCTTCCTCAGCCAACAGACGCTCTATACGCCAGTGTTTTGTGTGCCTGTCGTGAATGACATACGGGTGTTTGCCCGGTTTGTGCTCTCTCGCTGGCTTTACGCGTGTCCCGTCTGTTCGCAAGTTATCGCTTCTAAAAGTGCTTTTGTTATACATTTAAGGTCTGACTCTATGGCCGGCGAATGATATGTAGTTTTAACTGTAATAATGTGTTGATTTAGATCTCACGCCGACGTAAAGCCGTGCGCTTGCGATACGTGTGGCAAACGATTCCGCAGTAAATCGCAAGTGAGTCGACATAAGCTGACACACGAAGAGGGCCGACATGTTTGCGACATTTGCGCCAAAAAGTTCAAAACATCGCATCATTTAAAGCGCCACAAAATCATTCACTTCCCCGAAGAGAAGCCATTTGAGTGCCATTTATGTGATTATAAATGTAATGTTAATTCAAATATCGTAAAGCATGTGAAGAGCGTTCACGGAATCGTCACCTTTTC